CCTAGATTCAGGAAAAGCATGATAAATATGCGGACCTCGCCTTTGAAATGTCTCGCTTGCATCCCAAGTACACTGTCGCCAGGCTCCCCATTGTTCTCGGTGCCCTTGGTTTGGTACCTCCTGATCTCTTGGCGCAGATCAGGAGAGTGCCCGGGTTTTCCACCGGGTGTACAGCCCTTCTGACACTCTGGGTAATGCAGAAGGCTGCAGTGTTGGGGAGCCTTCATATTCTTCTTCATAAAGTTCTTGGTGGGTTCGAGGAGGCAGTGTTTCCTGGGATGAGTCCCATTCGCTGTCTGGGCTGCGTGTAGAGGGGGCAAGGGCCCTGAGCTGATGATGAGCCTTTACCAGCCTGACTGTGCCAGGATCACCCGAACCCTCTCTGCTGCATACTATCTTTAATCTGTAAAACATCATAATAATAATAATAATAATAATAATAAGACTGGCTATTGATAAAGCGAATGTATCCACGCACTTGTGCATGCTCAAAGCGCTAACATTACTACCCCGGATAACCCAAGCTGTCTGTGAGGCGCTAGAAGGTTAACAGTCATATGACCTATCCCACTGGATACCCATTCACTGCTGGGTGAACTAAGACAATTTCTGTACATCCTCGCTTGCCTATGGTGAGACCACATGTGTCACGTGTGTTTAGTTGTGGGGCAGGACTGAAGTTCTAGAAACTCTCAGGAGTCAAGCTGCCAAACACGGTCATCCATCCAAGAAATCTCCGTGACCAACGTTGCTTAACTTCAACTGATTTGTGACGTGGGCCCCATGTACAGGACTACACACCATCACTTCATAGACCATGTTAACGTTGATTTTATATTCATTTGACATATGGATGCGTGCAGTTCAGTCGTAAGTGTTTTTAGAGCTGCGTCCCTTGGGCACGCCGGAACCTATGACAATGGGTGATTCGCTACGATTATGTTTAACGGTTTGACAGCATCACACCCGAAAGCCATCAGAACTTCGGGTTTTCCTCCCACATGACGCCGGCATGCCCTGATATAACTGGAATTTTGCGCTATACGCAACTCAGTCATTTGACTTACTAGAGAGTGAGTGAGTGAGTGAGTGAGTGAGTGAGTGAGTGAAGATTTTAAGTCACATCGGCAGTATTTCAGTCATATTGTGACCATATCAAGTTATATATTAATTATACTAATTGTAGGTAAAATATAAAAACCTGTCAAGGAAAGACATTAAAACAACTAGAATATCACAGATATAAATGTAAAACTAGTAATATAATCTAAACCATTTTAACTATACATGACAATACAATATAAAAAAAGGGTACAGATTGTCAACAACCGAAGGTAGATCCCCATGCTAGGGACCATGGGGTCTTACAGTACTTTTGCTACCTGCATGGACCCTAGATGGATTTACACCATCCCTTCAGCTGTCAGCAATTTTGACAATCTAGCCATATCATTAAAATAACACATATACTGCAAGTACAAAAATCATAGTAAATTTAAATTTACTTACATTGTTTGGGGACTTACGTTCTCTCTCAGGAGGACAATAATTTTACAGTACATTTTCACCCCCCCACCCTCATCCCCCACCACCTTGAGGATAAAGCAACTAACAATATGAGTTATTAATTTAAACTTCAAAACATAAAATATTTATCTATTTACAAATCATTTAACAAATATATTTCTTATAAAAATGCAATAACTAATTGAGAACTGATACTATTAAAATGATTCTTCATAGTTCGTATTTTGAAATAGCCCTTGTGATGGAATATTCAACGCAGTGAAGCAAGACAACTAACTAAAGAACTTGTCGTAGATACCCGCAGATATTTTTTCATTCATATATTCGATAGTCATGAAATGTTTTCATGCCGTTGTTTTACCATTAAATCTCAAACATAACGTCCGAAATATTTGTACACGTTACTTGATTGTCTTGACTAGAAACAGGCCGTTGTTTCAGCATTGAACTTCAAACATAACGTCCGAACTATTTGTACACGTTACTTGATTGTCTGGACAAGAAACAGGCCGTTGTTTCAGCATTGAATCTCAAACATAAGGTCCGAAATATTTGTACACGTTACTTGATTGTCTGGACAAGAAACAGGCCGTTGTTTCAGCATTGAATCTCAAACATAACGTCCGAAATATTTGTACATGTTACTTGATTGTCTTGACTAGAAACAGGCCGTTGTTTCAGCATTGAATCTCAAACATAAGGTCCGAAATATTTGTACACGTTACTTGATTGTCTTGACAAGAAACAGGCCGTTGTTTCAGCATTGAATCTCAAACATAACGTCCGAAATATTTGTACACGTTACTTGATTGTCTTGACTAGAAACAGGCCGTTGTTTCAGCATTGAATTTCAAACATAAGGTCCGAAATATTTGTACACGTTACTTGATTGTCTGGACAAGAAACAGGCCGTTGTTTCAGCATTGAATCTCAACATAACGTCCGAAATATTTGTACACGTTACTTGATTGTCTTGACTAGAAACAGGCCGTTGTTTCAGCATTGAATCTCAAACATAACGTCCGAAATAATTGTACACGTTACTTGATTGTCTTGACTAGAAACAGGCCGTTGTTTCAGCATTGAATTTCAAACATAAGGTCCGAAATATTTGTACACGTTACTTGATTGTCTGGACAAGAAACAGGCCGTTGTTTCAGCATTGAATCTCAACATAACGTCCGAAATATTTGTACACGTTACTTGATTGTCTTGACTAGAAACAGGCCGTTGTTTCAGGATTGAATCTCAAACATAACGTCCGAAATAATTGTACACGTTACTTGATTGTCTTGACTAGAAACAGGCCGTTGTTTCAGCATTGAATTTCAAACATAACGTCCGAAATATTTGTACACGTTACTTGATTGTCTGGACAAGAAACAGGCCGTTGTTTCAGCATTGAATCTCAAACATAACGTCCGAAATATTTGTACACGTTACTTGATTGTCTTGACTAGAAACAGGCCGTTGTTTCAGGATTGAATCTCAAACATAACGTCCGAAATAATTGTACACGTTACTTGATTGTCTTCACTAGAAACAGGCCGTTGTTTCAGCATTGAATTTCAAACATAACGTCCGAAATATTTGTACACGTTACTTGATTGTCTGGACAAGAAGCAGGCCGTTGTTTCAGCATTCAATCTCAACATAACGTCCGAAATATTTGTACACGTTACTTGATTGTCTTGACTAGAAACAGGCCGTTGTTTCAGCATTGAATCTCAAACATAGCGTCCGAAATATTTGTACACGTTACTTGATTGTCTTGACTAGAAACAGGCCGTTGTTTCAGCATTGAATCTCAAACATAACGGCCGAAATATTTGTACACGTTACTTGATAGTCTTGACTAGAAACAGGCCGTTGTTTCAGCATTGAATCTCAAACATAAGGTCCGAAATATTTGTACACGTTACTTGATTGTTACGTTGTTTCAGCATTGATAACGTCCGAAATAATTGTACACGTTACTTGATTGTCTTGACTAGAAACAGGCCGTTGTTTCAGCATTGAATCTCAAACATAACGTCCGAAATATTTGTCAAACATATTGTCTTGACTAGAAACAGGCCGTTGTTTCACACGTTACTTGATTACACGTTCTGGATAGTCTGGACCAAAACAGGCCGTTGTTTCAGCATTGAATCTCAAACATAAGGTCCGAAATATTTGTACACGTTACTTGATTGTCTAGACAAGAAACAGGCCGTTGTTTCAGCATTGAATCTCAAACATAAGGTCCGAAATATTTGTACACGTTACTTGATTGTCTTGACTAGAAACAGGCCGTTGTTTCAGCATTGAATTTCAAACATAACGTTCGAAATATTTGTACACGTTACTGGATAGTCTGGACAAAAAACAGGCCGTTGTTTCAGCATTGAATCTCAAACATAAGGTCCGAAATATTTGTACACGTTATTTGATTGTCTGGACAAGAAACAGGCCGTTGTTTCAGCATTGAATCTCAAACATAACGTTCGAAACGTTGGTACATGTAAGGACTCGGTGATAAATATTTCAGTGTGAAAAATGTCAGGGATATCTTTGAAAATGTCAGCTTACATTTAATTATTGATTTTTTAAAACAAATACAATTGTTTGAAAAAATGTTGAATATGTTGTGAACAGATAAATTGCGCAATCGCCAGCCGCTTAGGTGAATCCAGCTAGGGTCCATGCAGGAACCAAAAGTTCCGTACGTCCCCATGGTCTCTAGTATGGTGATATGCCTTCAGTTGCAGGCGATCTGGAGCCTGTTATATATTGTATGAGTGCGATTTGAACAATCGAAACTAAGGCGGCTAAGGCGATTTCGCAATCGATGGATCCATCCTTGACAGAATTTCTTATAGTCGTTTAACTTCGACTTTCAAGATTATTGCGCGTACGTGCGACTCTGGACAGCAGATTTAACGAAATGATGCCCCAATTGTTAACAAGTAAACCGAAATCAGATATTTTTGTTAATTCCTAACCTTCCTAACAACATATACCATCATTTAACATCGTTTTGGTACGACGCGGCCTGGGATTAGAAGTTCACGTCTTCGTAGCTCTAAGATCGCCGTGTGGCCCAGATTTAGTTGTCTAGTAGATATAGATCGAAGCGACAACACCCTTTCCATATCCATAAGAAATTTCTGCTAAAAGGAGAGTCCATTGTACAGCCGTGATGAAATCATGAGTATGTATTTATTTCAGCAGTATTACAGGTGTAGAATGTTGTTTGTGAACAAATCGATTCTCAACAATGCAGTGATTGTCACAATGCGATATGATGACAGAGCATGTGTTTATGAATCACTGTGAAATAGTGATGATACCAGGTGTTCGCGAAACGGTGAGCGTATCCTGCCTCACGAGTGGCACCTGTCATAAACATATTCTACGTTTAGTCAATTGTTCATCTGAAATACCTCGGGAACGTATGGCTTAAGTCAAAATAATTGTTGTTTATTTTTCAGATAATCCGTTATAAGAAAGCTCAACTGGAGTTAGACGGCTCCAGTGATCGCATGAATTGCAGCTACACGCACAGGCGGGCCAGCCAGCCTCACATCCACGTCCACACTCTGGAGGGCAAGATTGGCAGACTAGAAACATTATTAAAAGCGGTACGTTTCAGACACACGAGCATGGGATCACCGGTAGCCATAATCGTTTCTTTCATTTTTGTTCAGTTCACAATCGTGACATTAACATTGCCATGTTATTTTAACTCGAAATTGTAGTGTTTACTTTATATATGGCGTCGACTGTAAAAGGTGAACTAAAATGAGACGTATTTAGGCCTTCACGTCTTCGCTCAGTGGCGTTTGTGAATCGAATCTAATCGTACGAAAATTGTTTTTTTAAATAGTACCTGAGCCTTCTATCAACTAGCGACTACTCTACTATATGTATTTTATATCAGTGGCATAGCTTGAGATACAAAGAACCAATAAAGCCCAGTGTAGATCTGGGTTTGAAATGGTCTGCAGGACACGCATGCGTAAATCGATGCTTATGACATCCATCAATTGATCATCTTGTCCATACACGGTTATTTACACAGACCACTGGTTCACCAAAATCTCACCCGGCCTTTTTCAATCACTGGGTCACCAACAGAAACATAGGGATTTTTTCGTTTTTTTAACCAACGCACTATGAAGGAACAACTGTCAAAATGACAACATGAAGGAAGTCAATAAGCTTTGCTTACCAGGGAACAACATAACTGTTTTCTTTGGAAGAAATCTGGCTTGACAGGTTGCATGACGAGATGCCACAAGATCCCCACGCACGTTGCTCATGTTTCTTCTTCACTGTTTCTTTAGAACAGTTACCCTGGGATCAGATTCATCTGCTTTTCAGTGGGCGGACATGTAACAATCTCCCCTCTCTGTATAAAAACTGGAAAACAAGAAATACAGTCTGTTCACTTGTCACTCAGCGATTTAAAAGTCCGTAAATAATAGACTGACTGACTGACTGAGTTTGGTTTTACGCCGCTTTTTAGCAATATTCCAGCAACATCACGGCGGGGGACACCAGAAATGGGCTTCACACATTGTACCCATGTGGGGATTCGAACCCGGGTCTTCGGCGTGACGAGCCAACGCTTTGACCACTAGGCTACCCCACCGCCCCCGTAAATAATAGAGACTGGGCCAGACAATTACATGGCATTACAACCAACGGTTGGCTGGTTGGTTGTTGTTTAACGCCGCACTCAGCAGTATTCTAGCTATGTGGTGGCGGCATGTAAATAAACGAGCCTGGACCAGACAATCCAGTGATCAACATCATGAGCATCGAGCTACGCAATTGGAAGCCGATGACATTTGTCAACGAGTCTGACCACCCGATTCCGTTAGTCGCCTCTTACGACAAACATTGGTAGCTAAAGACCAATTCTAACCCCGACCTTCACGGATATAAAAGTGATGGTGACTCAAATGACCAGAACGAGTGGATATGGCTTCTCGGCATCGCAAAGATTCCGTGGAGGCACATTATTGAATGTTTAGTGTTCTGAAGATAAACAGTGTTCAGCTTTGTTTGTAGGGTAAAGAATTATATTCCTTGAAGCAACAGCTGTTACACATTCTGTCAATCACGGATTAAACCTGACGTTACCACTGCCTATCACCGTTTCAGGACTTTCCTGTCGAAACGGATCAATCTGTTAGCAAACTGGTTCTCCTGATAACTTCGAATGTTTGTTTAATCTGCCAATGCTGTGAGAAGTTGTACTTTCACTGAGCAGGCGGATAGTGCTCGTTTTCTGGGATGAAGCTCAAACCGTTTGAATATTTCCAGGTGAAACTAGATATTAAAACAATCTGTTGGTAAACTGATTGCCCTTGATAATTTCGAATTTTGGTTCATTTCGTCAATAACGGGATCGGGTGGTCAGGCTCGCTGAATTTAATTACACATGTCATCGGTTCCCAATTGCGTAGATCGATGCTCATGCTGATGAACACTGGATTGTCTGGTCCAGACTCGATTATTTTTAGGCCGCCGCCATATAGCTGGAATATTGCTGAGTGCGGCGTAAAACTACACTCACTCACTCACTCATTTGCTGAGTGCTGAGTTTGTCTTTTGCTGAACATGCGGGTAATGTTTGTTTTTAGTGATGAAACTCAAAATCTTTGAATATTCCAAGGTGAAACTAGCTGCATAGAACAGCCTGCAGGTGAGCTGGTGCCTCTTGATGACTTGGGATTTTATTCCAAATATTGAACAGCATTTAAAATTTCTTCACTTAAAGGAAGGTATCCAAGTATTCTAAGTTGCGTGGACTGACGCTAATTATGTCAGTTCGTGCAATTGTCTGGTCCCGACTCGATTGCGGATACACACCGGCACCCTGGCTGCATTACTAACGTTGTTGTTTCAGCATGAAACATGTAACGAGCATGCAAATATTGTGAAAGATGCACATATCTTTATTCCTTCGACCGTTGACGATCCGGGTTAGAATTGACCTTCAGTATCCCATGCTTGTCGTAAGAGGCGACCAGCGGGATGTGGTGGTCAGGCTCGCTGACTTGGTTGATACATGTAATCGTAATCCAATTGCATAGATCGAGGGTCATGATATTGATCACTGGATTGTCTGTTCCAGATTCGATTATTTACAGACCGCTACTATATATATATCTGTATTATTGCTGAGTGCGGCGTAAAAGTAAACTCACTCCCTCCTGTTTATTCCTTCGTTTATCGGGGGACCAAAACATCACCTCTAACATTTGCTCGTTCTTACTTTCAGCACGAAGAAACCATAAAAGATCTGCGGGAAGAGTTGAAAAATCAGGAGAACCGCGCCATCTCGGATATACATCTCGACACCCTCAGTTCAGAAATTCCTGACAGAGACTCTAGATCATTTTCTTGACACATACATTTAGAATAGTCATCTCTGTGTGCACGAGGATCTCGAAACGGTGAAGCAGTCACCCATCATTTCTGGACATTAACTACAATTTCAAAAAAAAAACTTTTTCAAACACTTTTCAACATCTTTTTCACAACTGATTTGGGGATTTTCGCACTTGTGTCTAGACTTTCCAAATAAACTACAGTGTTAAAATTGGATGCTGTCATTTTCATGCTCTGTTTTGCTTAATAGTGATTACATTCAATAGTTGATTTATTGAAGGTACACAATAACAAAGGCATTAAGACTTGCAGTTCATATATTTCCGACATGCTTACAATTTCACACGGCGCCATGGTGTGTATGAGTGAGTGAGTGGGTGAAAGGGTAGCTGGGTGAGTGAGTGAGTAAGTGAGTTTAGTTTTACTCCGTTTTAAGAATATTCCTGCAGTATTACGGCGGGGGACACCAGAAATAGGCTTCACACATTGTACCCATGTGGGGAATCGAACCGGGTCTTCGGCGTGACGAGCGAATGCTTTAACCAGTTGGCTACCTAACCGCACCTGATGTGTGTGAGTGCTGGGTAGCGCACGTAATACTACTCAAATTAAAGCTTTAACAAAACCTACGATGATATTAGATGTCAACGCCCGACACACACAAACCTACCCCCGCAACATGAAATAAAAATAAATTTCGATTCAAATGCCGAAACAGCTCACATTGAGTGCGAAGAACAAAGTAGAAGATCCGGGTAGAATTTGTCTTTAGCAATCTATGCTGTTGTAAGCGGCGACTAACGGGAACGGGTGGTCAGGCTCGCCTACTTCGTTGACACATGTCATCGTATCCCAATTGCTCAAATCGATGCTCATGCTGTTGATCACTGGATTGTCGATTATATACACATCGCCGTCATATACCTGGGTCGCCGCGTTAAACAACAACCAAACCAAAGTATCACCCTGCCTTTGCGTTCAGTCATACTGATATATATATATATATATATATATGATTTCGGTGTTCACGAAGTAAATCACCGGATTGCTTAGTCAAGCCGCCATATTTACTGACTGCTCCTATATAGCTGGAATATTGCTCAGTGCGGCCGTAAACAACAAACAAATGTAATGAGGTATACTGTCATAACGTTACATTGTTTACTGTAACTGTGTTTGGTCTATAGCGTACCCCCTTAACTGTGGCTTTACACTTCTTGTTACCTCTGAGAGACGTTGTACGTAACTGTGACGTTACACCTTTAACTGTGTTTGGTCTATAGCGTTACCCCTTAACTGTGGCTTTACACTTCTTGTTACCTCTGACAGACGTTGTACGTAACTGTGACGTTACGCCTTTAACTGTGTTTGGTCTATAGCGTTACCCCTTAACTGTGGCTTTACACTTCTTGTTACCTCCGACAGACGTTGTACGTAACTGTGACGTTACGCCTTTAACTGTGTTTGGTCTATAGCGTTACCCCTTAACTGTGGCTTTACACTTCTTGTTACCTCCGACAGACGTTGTACGTAACTGTGACGTTACGCCTTTAACTGTGTTTGGTCTATAGCGTTACCCCTTAACTGTGGCTTTACACTTCTTGTTACCTCTGACAGACGTTGTACGTAACTGTGACGTTACGCCTTTAACTGTGTTTGGTCTATAGCGTTACCCCTTAACTGTGGCTTTACACTTCTTGTTACCTCTGACAGACGTTGTACGTAACTGTGAGGTTACGGCAAGCAGGGGTCGGGTTCTTGGAGAACAAACCTAACTTCACGGGTTCCAACGCTCTGTGAAGGAATAAATGTCAAAATAACAGCATAAATTTAGTAAACAATCTATTGACATAGTGACTATAGCAATATAAACAATGACAATATTCACCTCATTAAGGGACCGTTCATAATTTATTGCTGGGTGTGTGTGTGTGTGTGTGTGTGTGGGGGGGGTTGAAGGGGGGTCACCCATTATGTTTCATGGGAGGCTTAGGAATCAAGATTCTTTTTCACATTTAATAATTACATGCAGTGGGTGAGGTGGGGTGGGTTTATGAGCGGTCCCTATTTAGTCATGATATTCCAACTTGTAAGAAAGGGCTAGACTGAAAGTATCAGGTGATGATCATCACATACAAGCTGGTCTCCTCGAGTCTTGTAATGCGAGATGAGAGGAAAGTACTCGCTCTCCGTATTCAGCCAGGAAAAAGATGATAGAAATGTCTACACTAATGCATATGATTCTGAAATAAGCTCTCCAGCTCATTCTACACAAACTAGCTGCTGCAAGCGAATGCTAAGGTTACATAAGAACACATGTGATGTTATGGCACTTGGTGAATGTGGTAGAGTACCACTTCAGTATAACTATATGTTAAAACTAAAAAAATATTGGTGTAGAATAATTCAATTAGATTATAATCGTTAACCTTGTCAGTCTTACTTAATGCTTAAAAGCCTTGATGAGGTGGGTAGAACTACTTGGGCCTCTCATGTGAGAAACATTTTATTTCAAGTCGGTTTTGGAATTGTGTGGAGAGGTCAAGATATTGGCAATGTGAAAATGTTTATTTCTATTTTTATACAGCGATTGTTTGACTCCTTGAGCCAGGAATGGCTTCACAGTGGAGCAAGTGTCAAACTTATTGTCTATTTAAAACTATGTTACATGTTGAGACTTATCTTTCAATTGACATTCCACAACATTTAAGAGCTGTTATCTGTAAATTCAGGTGTAATAATTTCAGGCTAGCAATTGAAACAGGAAGGCATTGCAATATAACTGCTAGTGAAAGATTTTGCTTATATTGTCATAGTAAAGATTTATTTCTTGTTGAAGTTGAATTTCATGTCTTGATGATCTGTTAGCGTTATGAAGCCGAAAAAAAGAGAATGTCTTCATAATAGCATAACAAAGAGCCCTTCTATGGACAATTGTGTTTTGTCAAGTACTGATGAGAATGTAATATAAAGTTTGGCAAGGTTTTTATATAAAGTCTTTCGGATAAGAAATACAACAAATTATAATTAGGTCTTCAGTATATATGCTGAAATATTGTTTGATAGGTTAGTGTAGCATCTCTAGTGTTAGTTTACGAGAGCTTTTTTTGTCTCGTCCGGTGACAAGATACCTGTAATATGACCAGCATGAATACCCTTGTTAAAACCCTTTTCTAATATGGGCCATGGCCTTGACTAATGGAAATAAATTGTTTGTCTGTCTGTCTGTCATTCTACACTGTTCTCAGTGTCACTGGAGATGCCTCGAAGGCACATCACTGCCTCTTACCGGTACCACGTATAACACATACAACAGCAAGAAGGTCATATCTAGCGAATACAGATATTTGATCCTCAGGACAAACAGGCACCATGGAAACTGTCATCCCCTCCCAAATATGCGCAAAACTTCGAACATTGGTATCTGAAGGTGTCCAAACTGTCTTCTGGAAGTAAATGAAAGCTGGATCCAACAATTGTTCGAAACGATTGCTAGAACTGATTTTACGACGTCTCCTCTACTTTGACCAGTTAAACGAACGCTCCGGAAAACCATAAGATACATAAAATTAGAATGCGAATAACGCTTAATTCTTCTGTGTCCACATTTTCCAAAGTATATCAACTGCGAAATCTCGCGTTCTCACGATCTCGCTTTCTCGTGTTTCTGGTACATAGCACTTTTTGTCAAATGGCGACAGCGCGAGAATGCGATTTGTACATGCTGTCAAATTTCGCAATCTCGATTTGTCAAATAATCGCGAGAATGCGACATTTCATTTTCTCGTTCTCGTATTCTCAAGATCTCGCGTTTTAGACGCTGTCGTGGCGCATGCGTATTATCATAAGGTCAAAGTGCATGCACATGTTAGTGGTCCTGTTTCTTTCATGCTCTTCATTTCCCAAGTAGCATTTATCAAAATTATGACGGAGCTTGAAAATACTATGTAATTTGCATACACGAAGTGTTGGGTAGTGTATACAAGTCCGCTACCGTTGTTACAATTACCTATGTACTTAAAAATCCTCAACACGCCCAATATAATTTAACGAACGAAATTGTGAACATAAATGTCCAATAATAGTGAAAGCATGAAAGTGTCCGGAAGCTTGAAAAAATATTAACGTTAGTGAGTGATAAAATATTGCTTAGAGACGCATCAGCAATATAACAGCAATTCTCAGCTACATCGTCAGTTATAGAAATAATCACAGGCCAGTGACCTGTCCTGCGTAGAGTGGTTTTAAACGACATCGTATTGGCCACAGTCGGTTTACTATCTTTCGGCAATGTGCTTAGAACAGGCGATACTACCCTCCTCGGTGTATAGCTTGTGTTGGACAGGTTTGCCATCAAGCATATTTTGCTTGACTGTGTGGACCTTCCAGTTGCAAGGGATTTGCCTTGTTTAATGATTGTATTGATATTGTTTACCACTAAAATGTGTGTTTAGAAATTACTTTCGAATGTGTCTTTGGTTTTATAGTGCACTGGAGCGGTGGGGTAGTGTAGTGAATAAAGCCTTCGTTCGTCAAGCCCTAGACACGGGTTCGATACCCCAACATGGCAACAATGTGTGAAGCCCATTTCTGGTGTCCAAGAAAAAAATCGAAAATTATCCAGTACCACAAAATCCAGTGAATGACAGCATCGATCTATGCGCCCGGGATACGGTGCCATGCATCAGTCAAGTGTTATGTGGATCGATGAGTACGTCCGATGACGAGCTGTATATTTTGCAGAGGCGAAATTAACTGCCTGTAAAATATATAGGTTAAAATCGCTATGGCATTGGCCCGTGAACATCCGGGTTAGAATTGATCGATCAGTAACCCATCCTTGTCGTAAGAGGCAACAGACGGGATCGGATGGTCAGTCTCGCTGACTTGGTTGACACATGTCATCGTATCCCAGTTGCGTAGATCGATGTTCATGTTGATCACTGGATTTGTTTGATCCAGACTCGATTATTTATAGACCGCTGCCATATAGCTGGCATATTGCTTAACTCACTCACTCTCACTTTCATAATACAAAATAGTGAACTTACATTCCTCATTTCCAAGTTCACAACCTTGAACTGAGCAAGAAGGCAGAAATGTCACTACATGAAATAAAATTGTTAAATTACAATTCAACGCATCACTATCCAGCTGTACTTCTGTAAACAATATGCCCACGTGTATTAAGTTAGCAATAACATTCATGAAATCCATGATTTATAAGGAACTGCA